TGGTTTTGTAGAGTTGAGAGAGTGGTTGGTGTTTTTTTTTTTTTTTTTTTTTTTTTTTTTTTTTTTTTTTTTTTTTTGAATAGCCCAAATGCCTATTCAGTGCCAATCTAGGAAAGAATGGAGTTAGCATTTTCACACCATTCCTTCCTATACAGTCCCTGAATAACCATCTAATCAAGATTTGTTTTCAGTGGGGAACAAATCTTCTACAGTAGAGTATTTCAGATTTATTCCATTGGAATCTATACATTAATGCCCATTGGATGAAAGGAACTGCTTCACAAAAGCCTGGACATTGCCTTGCTGTGGCAGAAACTTTTTCCCACTGTATTAGTGTTAAATATAAAAGAAAGCCTGGGAAAGAATTGCTTCAGCATTGTGTGAGGGAGGAAACAGGCACGCCTGAATGGAGAGGCAGGGTCCCCCATCGCATCTGAACCCGTATCAGCAAAGCCCATTCAGCCTTTCATGGCTGCTCGCTGCAGTGTGGGACCAGTGTACTCAGGGAGATGTTTAAAAATTGTGTCTATAAAAATCCAACTAGGCTTGCCGGGTCAGGTTGTACATGTGTGCAGGTTTGAGTTTGTCTCTGTGGTTTTTAATGGAGTTGGTGACATTACTGCAGTAATCATAATTCAGACCATTTCACAATTTTTTGTGGTTATCTCTATAGGGTTACCTGATTGTTTAGATAGACTCAGCCAGTTCAGTCAAACAAGCACTTTGAATTTTTCTCATGAGATTGTGGTGTGTGCGTGTGTGTATGAGTGTGTGTAGTATGTGGACACCTTTTGCTTGACCATTTCCCTCTCTAAAGCAACCTCTATCATCACTTTCAGTGTTTTTATCTTTTCTTGTATGTCCTGAGGATTAGGATGGCCTTAGATCTTTAGGCAATCTGAGTTTCATTCTTCAGCAATCCAGTGTTACGGAGTGAAAAAAAAAAAGGCATCCAGGGGTGTGGGTTCTAATCCCAACCCTGCCTCTTACTAGCTGTGTAAAACTTAGGGTAAGTCACTTAAACACTTTGATAGCCTCAACCTTTTCTTACATCAAATAATAATAATAGGACTTGTCCTAAGAACATATAGGATGCTTTTAAGGAAAGACTAAGATGTTGTATGTGCAAGAGTTTTGTACACTGTGAAATGCTACATGGATATTATTAGGATACTTGTAGAGTTTCTTCCCAGAGTTATCATAAGGAAGACAACTCTTCATAAATGACAAATCTAGTGATATTGCTGTGACTGGTGCTAAGAGCAAATGTGTGTTTAAAGAGTGGTTTCACCTGTGTGGAAAAAAGTTACTTAATAAATCCATCCTCCTCAGAGATAGTGATTTTATCAGACTCATCCACTTTTAGTGCTTACTATTTTACTTAAATAAAAAAAAACTTTAGTGATAGTAAAACCATATCTGAAAACTCTACATTTTAGTGCCAGGACATGATGTTTTCTCTCTTGCATTGTTCCATTTGTAAACTTAAAAAAAAAAAAAAAAAGATGTCTTTACGTTAGATTTACTAAGACTATGTTGACGTCCCAAGGCCTAGAAACATGAACACCATGCTAATTCAAGGGTAGGTGTAGAAGCAGCTGGAGAACATACTGAACAGACTTTTTCATAGAGCTTTACAGTGGACTTATGGACACCCAAGGGCCAGACTTCATTTAGGGCAAAGCATGCAATACAATGAAGCAGGTAAGAGTGAAAACTCTAGAGCCAGACCACTGAGTTCAAATGCCGGCTCTACCACCCATTGCCTATGAGGCCTTGAGCGAGTTTCTTAATTTGTATGGCCTCAATTTCCTCATTTTAAATGGGGATAATAATACTACCTACGTGGGGCTCCTGCGTGGCTCAGTCGGTTAAGCATCTGCCTTGGGCTCAGGTCATGATCCCAGGGTCCTGGGATCGAGCCCTAGGTTGGGCTCCCTGCTTAGTGGGGAGCCTGCTTCTTCCTCTCCCTCTGCCACTCCCCCTGCTAGTGCACTCTCTCTCTCTGTACCAAATAAATAAGTAAAATCTTTAAAATTATAATAATACCTACGTGATAAGAGTTGCTATGATGATTAAATGAAATAATCTGGTAATACATAGTAAGCATTAAAAAAAGGGATGTTTGCTCTTGTTGTTATAGTGCTCTCTGTGCATGGGGGACTCAGCAAGGACTTAGAATTTGGTCTGCTGACTGATGTCCTGAATGTCTTCCTGGGTTATTGGGACCTTCCTCTGGGGTTGTACTTTGTATTAACACAGTTAGAGAGGATTCACCATGATTCTTTAATCTGGCAATGACAATTTGTTTTTACAACAGTGAAAAAAGTAGAAACTGGAGCCCAATGCAATATTTTCGGCACATCACAGACCTAATGGAAGTCAGGACAAAAAGGAAATCTCCTATGTAAAAATCAGTGCAAATCCTATGACTGAAAGTGAATATAGAGCCTCTAGGCATGTATTAAGTTAACTGGATATATGTGAGGCCGACTAAATGTAAAGATGGGAACAAAGGAAATAAATGAGTATGTAAAAGGATGCGGTCACACCGACAGAGCTCAGGCAGCATGAGGAGATTGAGTGCAGCGAGGTAGAGCTGGTGGAGCTCAGACTTTCCTGAACCGGTCCTCTCTCCTAGGGCAGAGGAGAAAGAACCTGAGGATGTGGGCATTCCTCCCATCTTCAGGTCATTACCTCTGGGGGCTACTTCTCACAAGACATGGGGATCCTGGTCACAGGGCAGCAATCAGTGCTTGGGCCACCTGGTTGTGAAAGCCCACTTACTTGGCCTCTCTCGAGCTGATTATTCAGTTGTGAAGGCAAGAATGGGGAATATAAATGAAGAATGGTTCGGAGAGAGGGATTCTTCAGAGCCATTTGAGAAGTAAGGTAGAAAAATAGGAAAGCCCTAAGCCTTAGTGTTCTTGCCACCCGTTTTAATTCTCAATCTGTGATCCAAATGTAACCATTATCCCTTGTCTGCAGAGCCCGGGGTATAAGGGTGGCAGTGGGTCAGGCTATGGACAGCCTCCACGTAGCTGACTGCTGTCTTCCCACTGGGAGCCGTTTGATACTTCCCTGTAGCAAGTGCATAGAACACAGTATTGCCTAGGGGGATCACACAGCCCATTCCTGGTTTACTCCTGCTGTCCTCACCTAATTATCAACAGTGCTCCCTTTCACTCTCAGACGTGCCCAGTTTGAACACTAAATGTGATCACCTGGTGTATTATAGTCTCCCAGTTCAGTGCCGCCATCTCCCACCTTTTGAACATTCCTTCCTTGTTAAGCTTCAGGAAATGCAGAAAACGACCCATGTCACATACGACCACTTTAGAAAGTCCTCAGACAGGTCGTTGGAGATGACAAGAGTGTGTAGATACAGAAAGCAGTGGGTGAGCACCCTTTTAGCCAGCAGACAGCATCCTAGAGCCTGTCCCTCAAGTGGAAAACGTGGAGGCAGCTGTTTGGGGGATATTTTAGTCTGGATTGCATTTTCCAAGGGTTTTTGCATACATAGTGTGGATTGAGAAATATACATATAAAGTAATAAATAGGAAAGGAGTTTATTTTTTTAACTATGAATATTGTTGCTATGAATAAAATCAGGAACTCTGAAAAACTGGGGAAAATGTAAGCTTTCCCAAAGGACCTCAGCTTCAACCTGTCTAAAGTAGAGATAGAGCGTTCCAGGAGAACCAGTCTTCCACTTGTTTCTCAGGTCTTATGTGCTGCAGTTGTAGGAAGAGCAGGCAAAAGACCCATCTGTTTATTAGGCTGTCCTACTTCAACTGGCAACCCTGGCTGAAGCTCTAGGGCATTAATAGGGATTCAGTACCCAAAATAGCAGGGGTATTGTTGGAGCCAAATCCAAGACCTCGTTCCCATAGGCCGTCATACCCGCAGCCCGATCCCTGTGCAAAGCATGTCCATCTTGCCACAGAGCCCACTTGTGTCTGCAAGGTCGGGGGTGGGGGTGCTTCCAGGAGCCATGAGCGTGACCCACCTGAGACCTGGGTGTTAGGAATGCAGTCAGCTAGCTCTGACCCACACACCCTGTCTTGTGTCTGTCTTGCCACCGTGCAGGTGACATCAGTTGCAAGGGGATGACCGAGCGCATTCACAGCATCAACCTTCACAACTTCAGCAATTCCGTGCTCGAGACCCTCAACGAGCAGCGCAACCGTGGCCACTTCTGTGACGTGACGGTGCGCATCCACGGGAGCATGCTGCGCGCACACCGCTGCGTGCTGGCAGCCGGCAGCCCCTTCTTCCAGGACAAGCTGCTGCTGGGCTACAGCGACATCGAGATCCCGTCCGTGGTGTCGGTGCAGTCGGTGCAAAAGCTCATTGACTTTATGTACAGCGGCGTGCTGCGCGTCTCGCAGTCGGAAGCCCTGCAGATCCTCACGGCCGCCAGCATCCTGCAGATCAAAACAGTCATCGATGAGTGCACGCGCATCGTGTCGCAGAACGTGGGCGATGTGTTCCCGGGGATCCAGGACTCAGGCCAGGACACGCCACGGGGCACCCCCGAGTCAGGCACATCGGGCCAGAGCAGCGACACCGAGTCGGGCTACCTACAGAGCCACCCGCAGCACAGCGTGGACAGGATCTACTCGGCGCTCTACGCATGCTCCATGCAGAACGGCAGCGGGGAGCGCTCCTTCTACAGCGGTGCGGTGGTCAGCCACCATGAGACTGCGCTCGGCCTGCCGCGTGACCACCACATGGAAGACCCCAGCTGGATCACGCGCATCCACGAGCGCTCTCAGCAGATGGAGCGCTACCTGTCCACCACCCCCGAAACCACACACTGCCGCAAGCAGCCCCGGCCCGTGCGCATCCAGACCCTGGTGGGCAACATCCACATTAAGCAGGAGATGGAGGACGATTACGACTACTACGGGCAGCAAAGGGTGCAGATCCTGGAGCGCAACGAATCCGAGGAATGCACGGAAGACACCGACCAAGCGGAGGGCACTGAGAGTGAGCCCAAGGGCGAAAGCTTCGACTCGGGCGTCAGTTCCTCCATAGGCACCGAGCCTGACTCGGTGGAGCAGCAGTTCGGGCCCGGGGCGGCGCGGGATGGCCAGGCCGAACCTGCCCAAGCCGAGCAGGCCACGGAAGCTCCTGCCGAGGGTGGCCCACAGCCGCACCAGCTAGAGACAGGTGCCTCCTCCCCGGAAAGAAGCAACGAGGTGGAGATGGACAACACGGTCATCACTGTCAGCAACAGCTCCGACAAGAGCGTCCTGCAGCAGCCTTCGGTCAACACGTCCATCGGGCAGCCATTGCCAAGTACCCAGCTCTACTTACGCCAGACAGAAACCCTCACCAGCAACTTGAGGATGCCTCTGACCTTGACCAGCAACACACAGGTCATTGGCACAGCCGGCAACACCTACCTGCCGGCCCTCTTCACTACCCAGCCCGCGGGCAGTGGCCCCAAGCCTTTCCTCTTCAGCCTGCCACAGCCCCTGGCAGGCCAGCAGACCCAGTTTGTGACAGTGTCCCAGCCTGGCCTGTCGACCTTTACTGCACAGCTGCCAGCGCCACAGCCCCTGGCCCCAACCGCAGGCCACAGCACAGCCAGTGGGCAGGGCGAAAAAAAGCCTTACGAGTGCACTCTCTGCAACAAGACTTTCACCGCCAAACAGAACTACGTCAAGCACATGTTCGTACACACAGGTGAGTGTGCAGGCCCCTCTGGAGGCCCGGAAGCAGGCCGTGCGTGCGAGGGGGCTGTAGGAAGGGAGGGGCAGGACGGCAAGTACAAGGGAAGGTTTGGAGACATCTTCCAGATTTGAAGGAGACCCCACTGCCAGCCATCTTCTAGAAGCCCCAACAATACCCCCATTGTAGGCGTGAAGCATCTGCCACCAAAATACAAAATCACAGAAACCCAGTGGAGAAGGGCCAAATGGGAAAAAGTCTGACAAGGAATTTGCAGGCACAGTATCCCTTACATACATGGAACTTTGTAATACGGTCTTTGATTCTAGGTGTTTACAACTGGAAATGTCCTTGGAGAGTATATACTCCAGTCACTTCATTTTACAGACCAAAGTCATAGAGGCAGAACAGGGATGAGAATTTCAGTCTGTAGTAAGTTCTGTATGAACCATCAGCTTGAAGAGGCCGCAACAAGGCTGATGCAAGCTTATGCTGCATTTGTGGTCCCCGAAATGGAGAAGTGATAGACTCACTCTATTTTCTATTGCTTTTTCTCTTATTTTCAACATCTAGAGACCACAGTCTGGTCTGGGCACTAACCTTTTAAAAAGACAATAGACTGGGACATAGTCAGAGAAGTATAATTAGGATGATGAAGGAATGCAAAACCATGGCATAGCATGGTTGAAGGTCCGAGGGCTGTTCAACCTGCAAAAAAAAAGACTCAGAGCATCATATAACATCCAAGTATTTGAGCTTCTGGGGCAGCATATGTAGTAGTTAAGCTGGAGCTCTGGAGCTACGTTGCCCAGGTTTGAAATCAGACTTAGCCACTACTGAACTTTGTCACCTTGAGAAAATAACTTAATCTTTCTACACTTGTTTCTTTGTGTGTATAATGGGAATAACAGTAATACATCCTTCTTAGAGTGTCGTTTCCAAGAATAAGTGAATTAATATATGAAACTCTTAAAACAACTCCTGGCGCATCATCAGCACTCTATAAATGGTAGCTAACATTAGCACAGTTAGCTTTATTTCAATGGTTAGGAGGAGAGAGACATTAAGCTTGTTCTGTTTGGCTTCAAAAGGTAGAACTGGACCAATGATTGAAAGCTATAAAGGAGATTCTTTCAACTAAATAAAAGGTTTGTTAACAGTCTGAGCTGCTCTAAGATGGGGTAGACAGCCTCCAAAGGGACTGAGTTTCTATAATTAGAGGTGTTCCAGGAGAGAGTGGATGATCATTTCACAGGGATGATGTAGAGGGGCCTCGATCATTAGATGAGTAGTGGGGTGAGATGGTGTTTCATCTCTGGATTCCGTGATTCTAGAGCTAAGATCTCCTGATCGCACAGCTAGTGCCCTTTTCCAGCTCAATAACAGGACAGACATAGAAGTGAGAACTTCACAGATGCTCCTCCATATAAGTGACCATACATACGATATGATTTCACATAGATTCTCTCATATCTGAAAATACCTACCCCAGTGATGATCACCGTATTTGAAATTCCTATCATGAGTCCCTCTTCTGGTGTACCTCTGGTTCCAGAACACCCCTGTTAAATGACAAATAAGTTGCCAGAGAAAGTTACATAGTAGAATTACAATACATGAAAACAGATTAGTTCCTCTGAGCAACCTTGTTTCTCCGATCAGCTAGCAGGAATCTAGGGGATAGGACATAAGGCAGATAAATTTAAGTTGGTAAATAGAAAGGAAAGAAAATAACAGACACTGAATCAGTTGTTCTTAAGAATGACAGTTTTCACAACTCCAAATCAACATAGTAACTCACTACTGAATTTAGGAAGAAAATCAGGTAGTGGTAAGTCACTATGTTTATTTAGGGTAAATGTGAATGCATTGATAACCCGAGATCAATCAAGGGCAATTTTCTATGTGGTATGGGTATCATCATTATTTGGTAAATTGATCAAATAGTAATCTTTCTAGTTATGTGGCACGTTATGGTTTACAGAGTGCTCTCACTTAGTTTCTCCTTTCTTCTTCTGAATAATTTTCATATAAACCATCAAATTAAAGATTAGGGAGGAAAAAGAGACCAGTGTCTCTTTTAGCCAAAGTGTCTTGTTAGCCAAAGTTCACTTCACTGGTCTTGGATCCATAAACATTTCTATTCTCCACCCCCTGCCCCCCCGCCACCCCTGTGCATCTCTTCTAGTAGACCTAGTGGAAATAAAATTCACATACTCTATGAGATCACATATTGAAATAAGGCTTTAAATTTGCAACACAAAATTTTCAGGGCACTATCAAAAATTGTCTTTTTGCTATATAAACACATTCATCCAATGGATTCACTAAAGAATTCTGTGGTTAACCCAAATAACTAGATTTGCCCATGAAAAAAAACAGCAATGGGTTTGTACATTTAGACATCATAGATACAAAAGCTACAAGTAAAGTCATTTTATAAATCTGAGTTATGCTCAAAGTGTAGCCTTCAGATCTCTAATAAACTATGAAGGTTTTGTATAGGTGTGCATAACATGGCCACATCTGGGAACAATTAAGAATACACAGATATCACTTGAGCACCTCATTTAAAAGAAGTGGAAGTCTTCCCATTCACCCTGAATTATTTGGCAGTGGCAATTTGGAAGGGCCATCTGTCTATCAAGACTTTTGTCTAGCTGAAGGAGTCCATAACCTAACAAAGTGAAAGAACAATTGGTCTAGATTTTTCAAAAGGCAAGACAGCCTGAACATATGGAAGTAATTCAGGACCTGGATTCATTGCAGCCTCCATTTCAAAACAAAGTTCTCTCCAATTTCTTAGGAAAACATAAAAAAAAACAGGGCCTCCCAACTTCACAAGAGCCCAGTGGAAGTGATAAAAAGCCAGAGCAAAAAGTCTAAATGTCAGTCTAAAAAGATTCTGGAAAGTACCACGGATACTGGGAAGAGTAGGGATGGCTTTGGTATTCTTACGGATAACCTAATCTGAAAGAATCTTACTAAGAAGCAGTAGCTTGATAGAGCTAAAAGGAAAGACATTTGGGTTCTCTGTATCATGGCTATTATGCATGCTACCTAGATTTGCATTTCAGTTACTCCAACTTTAATGTCAATAGTACTTACTATCCACAACTGCAGAGAATCTATTCTGAGACTTGGACTCCAAATAAAATTCTGTGGAGCTCTGTGTTAATGATCCACATATTCACTGAAAGGAAGTGTTTGAAACAAATAAGTAGTCTGTTGTATTGACTTTGGAGCTGAGCTCCGCGGTAGAGAACCAGAAAGCCCTTGGCTGTAAAGCATATTCCATAATGATTATAACACTGAAACTCAGAGTGGGGACATAAGTGAAAGACAGTTATACTACAATTCGATTATTTGAGTTCAGTTTTGGTCCCTTTAATTGGCTGTGTGGCCTTAAGCAAATCACTTAATTTTATAACCCTCAGTTTCTTGTGTTTATAATGGAAATAATAATTTTCCTGCCTTTTGAGTAGCTAGCTGTAAAGGTATGGTGCATTTGAGAGCTTTTCATAGGGGCACCTGGGTGGCTCAGTCGTTAAGCGTGTGCCTTCGGCTCAGGTCATGATCTCAGGGTCCTGGGATAGGCCCCGCATCCAGCTGGCTCCCTGCTCAGCGGGAAGCCTCCTTCTTCCCCTCCCACTCCCCCTGCTTGTGTTCCGTCTCTCACTGTCTCTCTCTCTCTGTGTCAAATAAATAAATAAAATCTTTTAAAAAAAAGCTTTTTATAAAAGGTAAAGTACTAGTTAATGTTTAAAAAAAAACCCATCGTCATTATTACCTGAGCCCCCTCCACCCAAGAGACGTTGACTTTCTTTGCTGTATCTCATATCTCTGAATAATAAGCTCTTGACAAATTTCCTTCCTCTATGGAATTCAAACACTGAAGCCACGTGATACTTCTTGGGTTTCCCCTGAACTTCCTTCATAACATCAGCATTTTTTTTTCACTCCTTAATGATTTTTTTAAGAGTAAAAGAGTATCTCTCACCTAACCACTCTATCTCCTCCCAAACAAGCCACAGTGGTACTCCATTTCTCCTAGGAGTGTCTCAAGTTCACTTTACTACAGCTTCATAAAAGTTGTGAGATACGAAACCAAGAGTTAAGGACGTATTTGAAAATAAGAGAATCAGAGAAAAACAGATGACACAAACCATCCTGTCATGGAACCAAGCAGGCTCCTCTATGCCCCCTCCCCTCAAGAGGAAAAAACAAGTCAAAGGAATGGGAATGGAAGGAAAGATAGGATGTCCAGTTAAATTTGAATTTTGGATAAACAAGTGTATTTTTAGCCTAAGTATGTCCCATGCAGTATTTGTGCCATTCTTAGACTAAAATATTATTCATTGTTTTTCTGAAAGATTTAACTGGGTGTCATGCATTTTATCTCGCAATACTATCCAGGTAGAACTCTCTTTTAAGACCCAATCTTAGGACTTTTTGCTTTAAAATCTATATGTGGGGGTGCCTGAGTGGCTCAGTCGGTTAAGCGTCCAACTCCAAGGTCTTGATCTCAGGGTCGTGAGTTCAAGCCCCACGTTGGGCTCCACGCCCAGCATGGAGCCTACCCAAAAACCAAAAAAAATTAAAAATAAATAAATAAATAAAATCTATATATGAATACAGTCTAGCATATGTAGTTGCTTAACAAATACCTTTTGAGTGAGTAAGTGAATGAATGTTCAGAAATGTGGGCATGCTTTCCAGGAGAATTTAACTCAAGGGACTTACACATAAATGCATTATTTTCTAGCAAGACTTAAATTTCTCTTTCTTTCTTTTTCTTTTTTTATTTGCTGGAGAATTTATTGTATCTGCATTTCTACTTGTGTTTTCTTCACTAACAATGGTAGATGTTTGGGCTTTTTTCTGAATCATACTATCAACAGCCCATTTATTGGTGACTGTTTTTGGTCCATTAGTGTCCTCTACCTAGGTGATAATTTTGTTTGTTACCTTGAGAAGCTCAACTATTTCAGCCATGAATTTGATATAAAAAGATA